GGGGTGACTCCATTGATGGCCCGGACGCCTTCCTCGGCGTCGCCCGTGCATCGGACCGGTCAGCGAGCGTCGGGCGGCGTGGCAGCACGCAGTGGAAGCCGGGACCAAAGAGGTCGGGGGCGCGGTCGAGGACGGACAGGCGTCTTGTCTCGGGATGGAGGCCCGCTGAACGACTTCCAGCAGGCTGCTAACCAGGCTTTAAGGGAGGGAGGGCGGAGGGAGGTAACTGGCGAGGAAGAAAGACGGGACGCATCTTATGTACCGGAGAGAAGCCAGGACTCATAAACGGAGGAGTCCAGTGCAGCTCTGGAGGAGAGAACTTCGTCACGCAGGCAAGGCAGGAACCCGTCCCCATCGCTCAGATCCCGCGGACGAAGACCTGCGCACACACAGCCACCTGGCTCTCCCGCCCAGGCTGCCAGAGGGGGTGCGTGAAATACGCGTCCCTCCCGCGCCAGTAGCTCGCCTGATATCCAGATCCCTCGGCAGTTTTCGCCACAGGAGCTGTCGTCCAACGAATCCCTGTTCGCTGGGGTGGCGGGATGGGATATCGACCTGCTTTGCGACAGTCGCCAACCCCCAATTTCCCGCAGAATCCCCCCCAAACTTCGTCAGCTCTTCGCCCTAGCACTCCTGACACCTCTGCTACACATCGCACACAGGCCAACCAGCCTCGCGGGTTGGCGCCTGTTACTTTTCGTCCCTCGCCTGACTCTTCGCCTGCACTCGCCCAAGCACCCTGATTGGGCCACGGTGGAAAAACGACTGCAGCAGTTCCTCGCGGGGGACTGGCAGCAGCTGTACCTGTCAGCAATCGACGCTGTGCATAACCTCCCCCCTCCTCGCCACGTGCCGGACACCATCGGCAGGCAAAAGCGGGCAGAGGGACTTGTCCGCCGTGGCAGTCTCCGACGTGCCCTGTTGGCACTGGACTCGACTCCGGTCAGCGATTCAACCCCCGACGTCCTCGAGGCACTGAAGTCCAAGCACCCCGCTCCGTTGACCGAGTCAATCGCGTGGCCCACCCTCGACGAGTCAGATGCGGGCCCCACGGTTTCGCAGGAGGCGTTCATTCGTCTGCTGAGCCGCTGCGAAAACGGAGTGGGCGCAGGGCCTTCTGGAATGTGCTTCGAGCACATTCGCGAAGCTGCCCTCGCCAACAACTCGGTCGCTGTCAAACTCCATGAGCTCGCATTACGCCTGCTCCAAGGGGATTCCACAGCCGAAATCGCCGCCCTCCTCACCGCTAGTCGATTAATCGCATTCTCCAAGCCCGGAGGCGGTACGCGACCTATAGCCATAGGCGAGTGCTTGCACCGCCTCGTGGCGAAGGCGGGCCTCCTCACCATGACGGCGCAGGCACAAACTCATTTCCTCCCGCTGCAGTTCAGGGTGGCAGTACGCGCGGGTGGCGAGGCGATCATCCACGGAGCCCGCACATACACATCCGAATTTCCGTCCGCCCTGGTACTCCAGGTCGACGTGTCAAACGCTTTCAACAGCGTTGACAGAGCCGCGATCGTGGCAGGCCTTT